GGCAGAAGCAATAATTGTATGTGAGGCTGGTAAGCGCGGCGCCAATCCAGCAAACAGAGGCACTCAACAATATTTTAATGCTAATTTAAGCAAATAAGTAGTTGCTCAAGAAGCATAAATTAAGAAAGCCTATAAAACAACAAATTACTGCAACACACACATACTCACACATGTAGCATACATATATTTAACCGCTCTTTTTCAATTGCAGCTGCTGAGCATGCGCAGTGCAGCGTTTGAAAAGAGCAAGCATGAAAAACAGGTAAAATGAACGGACGCAGGTATGTGTATCAGCCAAATGCTTCAGCATTTGAACACATTTTCAACAGCTGCTGTAATTTTTCTGTATGTCACTTAGATATATGTGAGTTCCTTATTATCAGAAAACAGCTGTTGCGCAGTTGATGGCATCCCTCAGAGACCGTTTTCGCTGTTAAGGTTTCACAATTAGAAATACCAGGTAAAACACAGCCAGAATATATTCCACTGTGTGACCAGAAAGTGGTTCTTTAAAGATCGGCCACAACAACATATATTTATCTAAACTTATAAGGAGCTGTCATTTGAGGTCTTCAACATTCTGGAAGCATTCTGGAGTCGAAAAACAACCTGGATATAACGTTCAAAAATTAATTGCGAGAATAAATACAGTTAAAGCAAAAATTTGGCTTGATGAAGAAGTCCACAAAATAATTTTTGATGACCGTAAAGTAAAGTTCTTGATCTCGAGCATAATAAACCCGAGTTTTTGCCACGATATTTGAAAACAGATGTAACATGGTTCCATCATTTCACTCAGAAGTCCAATCGAGAGTCATCCCAGAGGGCTACACGCGAGGAACCCAACAATCGGTTAGCGAGATTGTGGCGTCTGTATCTTGAAAAAAAAGCATTTGAAGAAAAAGAAAGTCCCTTTTCAATAGACCCTGTCACAAGTCAGTGAAAACGACTCTCAGAACTCGAAAGAATGCTCGCTGGACAAAAATTTGCGTCGAATGAAGAGGTGATCTCCAAAAATGAGGTATTTTTGTGAAGCAAAGGACAAATCGTACTACAAAAATTGGGTCGGTTGGATCAGTGTATTACACCGTGAAGGGAACTATGATGAGTAAAAATAATAATTTCGCTCAAACATTGTTGTTGTTATTGTAGCGGCAGAAATCTACCGAGGTGAAAGTGCTTGGCCGCATAAAACTCCGGGTCCGTTCTGGTTGCGACTGTTGTAGGAACGAGTCAAAAACTTGTGTTTTACTGTGGAAGGTCGGGGACTCTTCAATTACATACATCCATGGATACATCTCTAAACCAAGATTAAGGAGAACATTTAATTCATGACTCTACGGTCAGTACGAAGTTGTACTAAAGCAGTTAGTGATTATACGAACTAAATTTCCAATGACGTCATTCAATGCGCGCGCAATATGAAAAAACTGCCAATTGAATATGCCAATAACGTGCCCAGAAAAAATAAAATATAAAACTCAACAATGCCAACAGCAGTAAGAATTATTTGACGAGTAGTTGGCAACAGCGGGGCATGTACATTTTTGCAAATGCGTAAATGGAATCCCAAGAATTCGCCAACTCAGTGCGAAAAGCGCCAACAAATGTCTCAGAAAATCGCGCTTAATGCCAAGCCCAAAAACACTAAGCGCACAAATAAGTTCGCACGTGTGGTTGTGCATGTGTGTAAGCTATATACTTGCTATACGTAACGGTATTTGTGTGTGAGCCGACTTAAAATGCCAGCAGTATTGTGACGCGGCGTCACTTCGATTCGAATACAATGTGATAGTAAGTACTTTAATGCGTTGACTTGCGGCAGTGAGTTGTTTCGGTTTCTAGTCGGTGGATGAAATTAAATGAGCCTCAAATGGCCTGCCATTTTTCGGTGAGGTTTTGACTTTGTAGCGAAAAATAAATAAAGCAAAAAATCGCTGAAATTCACAAGCAAATAATGAAGTGCTTCATCGGACGCAAAATATACTATGAAATGGAGGTGAACTCGTGTAAACGTTGTGAGTGAAATCAGAGAGCACGTAATTTTGTAAACGATATTATAGTACGAGTAATATTGCCATATTTTGGAGCAAGTCGTTTCATACAAAATAGCATTTCATATGTTTCCCTAGCGATTCCGAAGTAAGAATAAACTAGTTGTTGTTGTTTACACACTATTCTGCCCCGACAAAGAACTTCTCACAAACCCACAAAAGTAGTAAATGTCAAATTTTGTCATTTCAGGGCATATTTTAGACCTATTCAACGCGGTATCTTTCCATAGAGCACCTGTAACTCGAAAACTTAAAAAAATTGCAAACCATATTTTTACCATTAACTGCTTAAATACACATTTGCACTACATAAAGTCGTCGATTTAAAAAATATATCGAAAATTAATTTCGAATTTCGTTGAAAACTTGCGAAATGAGAAACACGATCACTTTCGGCTTCGCGTTACATTTTTGCAATTTCACTTTGTATCAAAATGTAAAATATTTTTTATAGAAACTCGATCGATTCATTCGACATGATTTTGACCGATGACCGATCCATTTGCATTTGCGTTGAAGTAGCGGCAACTAGCGTAGCAGCAACCAGCAACAACACTTCGTTTCGTTGAATACTCGCGACAGACTGGCGAGAAATCGTGCGCAGCGACAACAGCAAGTCGCAAACTCGGCGAAACACCGACGAATAACACAGCCAAAGCGGATGATGTGGGAAAGAGCGGCAGAGGATTCACTTAACAGCATGTCAGCGCCAGAGTGTATCTTTCGGATATCGAATACAAACAACCACCTAACAGCAAACAACAAAAACATACTGGCTTGCATGTCTATAGGTAAAGCAAGATAATAAACAAAACACAATAAAACGGAGCCAAAGAAGTCGCTGACAAACAAAGCCAAATTGAACCCAAAGCACACACATTCATACATACACTCTTTGGTATTTTCTTGTATTTGTTGCTTCTTATTCAGTTGCGCCTGCAACATGGTGAAGCCGGTTGTTGAGCTACCTGACCGGTGGTTCGTTCGGTCGCTCGGTCAGTCGATCGTTCGGTTGTTCTGCTGGTCTTGACAAATGCTTACATCACGTTTCTTCTGCTCCCCCCTTGTTGTTGAATGATTTTTGTTCTTTTATCTTTTTGTTTGTGTATACGTGTGTTTGTTCGCACACCTGCTTATGAGCAGCTCACGAGCAGGCAAGAAGAATCAGCGCCACCAAAGAGAATTCTCAACTGACAAAGAGATTTAGCTTAATAAACAATGAGCATGAATATTCATAAGCACATATGTGCATATGGCTGATTTTAGGCCTTAATTCAAAATCTTAAGATAAATCATTAATTCAAAATCAAAGTAATATCTCCACTTGACAAATAAAAATTTCATGAATTTGCTTGGGTTGTAAACCATAATTACATAATAAATCGCTTGCTTAATCTCGCTGAAATTGATCACGTGCACGCGTTTCATTTAAACGAGCCTAGAAGTAGGCAACGAACGGCATTGAAAGACAGCCAAATGACGCGATAGATTAAAATGAACGCCGAAAAGCACACTATGATTTTATTTAAACTCAATTGGTAACGTTACATATGTACATATTGTGTTGCAGCACAAATATTTGCCAAATAGTTGTGGGTAGTGTTGTCGTTAACCGAATATAAATTCGCTTCTGTCGCGGTAGCATGGTTCAGTTCATAATTTAGTATTACATATTGAAAAGCAAAAGTTAATAAAAACTTTCATAATAAAAGTTTGAAATGATCTTAAAATAGTCAGCAGACTCAAATGTGAAATCGATATCTCAAATAGTTTCTCTGCTAGCCGCCCAATTCCATCAATGCAGTGATAACTCGAAGATAAATAAACAAGCATTTTTTTCTGATTTTTTTCTACATACAAGAATCGTCTTTTTGCTAGTCAAAAATAACAAAATTTGGGGTAACATTTTTATGCTCTCGCAACAAAGTTGCTAAAGAGAGTATTATAGTTTTGTTCACATAACAGTTGTTTGTAAGTCCTAAAACTAAAAGAGTCAGATATTGGGTTATATATACCAAAGTGATCAGGGTGACGAGTAGAGTTGAAGTCCGGATGTCTGTCTGTCCGTCCGTCCGTCCGTCCGTGCAAGCTGTAACTTGAGTAAAAATTTAGATATCATGATGAAACTTGGTACACGTATTTCTTGGCTCCATAAGAAGGCTAAGTTCGAAGATGGGCAAAATCGGTCCACTGCCACGCCCACAAAATGGCGGAAACCGAAAACCTATAAAATGTCATAACTAACCCGTAAATAAAGATATTAAAATGAAATTTGGCACAAAGGATCGCACTAGGGAGGGGCATATTTGTACGTAATTTTTTTGGAAAAGTGGGCGTGGCCCCGGCCCCTACTAACTTTTTTGTACGTACATATCTCGAAAACTACTATAGCTATGTCAATCAAACTGTATAGAGTCGTTTATTTTAGGCATTTCCATATACAGTTCAAATATGGAAGAAGGCGGACAATAACCACGCCCACCTCCCATACAAAGGTTATGTTGAAAATCACTAAAAGTGCGTTAACCGACTAACATAAAACGTCAAAAATACTAAATTTTACGGAAGAAATGTCAGAAGGAAGCTGCATCCAGGTTKTTTTTTAAATTGAAAATGGGCGTGGCGTCGCCCACTTATGGACCAAAAACCATATCTCAGGAAGTACTCAACCGATTTCAATGAAATTCAGTGCAATAATATTTTCTTAACACCCTGATGAAATATACCAAATAAGGGTGAAATCGGTTCACAACCACGCCTGAAATCTAGATTATCACTTTATCATGCGAGAGTATAAAATGTTCGGTGACACCCGAACTTAGCCCTTCCTTACTTGTTATTATCAGGTTTCATCTATGGAGCCTATATTTATACAGAATGTGTCGAATCACACTTCAAATACGTTTATATAAGCACAGTTATAGTAGAACATAAATTAATACTCACGCAACGGAGTTTTAGCCAAAAGCTTCGGTGAACCGCCACCAGCGCTTGCCATGCTCAGATCGCTTTGGGAGCTCTTCTGACTGTCTTTGCTGTACGATCGACCACTGCAACAAGAGAAAAATGGTATAAATAAACTTTGAGTCAACAACAAAAATCACACTTTTCATTTAATATCCATGTATTTATCATTAAATACCAATAATTTAATTAAAAAGACAATGTAAATATGTAAATGAGCTGCGGATGCGCACATCGACTTCAGCGGTTCAATCGTGAGATTGAGCATTAGATCATGTTGTTACATCAACACTATGTTTAGCTAATGATGTGAGTATGTATGTATGTGTGCTTCTACATATATATGTACGTGTATGAAACCTGAGTGCAGTCAACGTAGTCGTTCGTGACTAGTTATTTTATACTTCACATTCAATCGCAACTGCAAAGCATTAAAGCCGCGACTTCAGCTGTATTTACAAAAAAAAAATACAAAAAAACAGTTGAAAATGGCACGTTCTGGCTTTTTTTCTGGTTGCACGCGGATGCACATAACTGCAGTATACCATAATTGAGTAAATAGTTTAATTAATGAAATTTAACTGCAATATGTGTGCATAAGCTAATTCAATTTCCACCGTTATAATGGATTCGCTAATTAATTGCAATTCATTAAGTCAACTTAATCCCAAACTAAATAAAGTAATGAGGCGAAATTATTTGCCATTTATAAGCAGATATGTGGCGAGAACATTTTTTCATAAAAATTTCCGTAAAATTGTTTGTGTGTTTTCATTGAAATAGCAACTTTGCTTGATATTTTCGATTTGCTCATAATGAAAGCGGAATAGTAAGAAATTAAAGAGAGGGAAAAGCGTAATTACGTAAGGGGATGATATATGAGACTTAGGACCTAAGGTCGCGGTGCATTCCTCGTTTATCAATTTAAGGGATAATATCAGGATGAGTAAAATATTAGGAAGCGTTGAAGATAAACTAGTCACAATGTGATTAAATCATAAAATTGTGCTCAGGTGGAAGCATATCGAATTTATACATTCAAAAGCGTTAATTTTTCTTTACGGTTCCATGCATGACATGTGGCAAGCACTACGAAAGTATATTCTACAAAAGGAGTCACTTTGTCCGCTCACTACACGCCACAATCAATAGAACCATAAAACTCGTAGTTAACACAAAGTCCTGCGCTGAGCACAGTGCGCAACAGAAGGCCGCCACAACTTGTGGCACAATTAAATTTATGAGCTGCATAATGGGACTAAAGTAAAAAGGTAGCAAGGCCGCACACATAATTAAAACGTGACGGCTTTTGTTAAAGGTTTGCTTGCGCATTTTTGCCTCGCTTCAGCTTTGCTGCAAGTATGCAATTAATGTGGCAGAAGTCGGCATTAAAGCCACAGCAATTAAGGAAGCAGTAAACATATTGTAAAACTCGAATTCGTGCTGGTTAACGGAAAGCTATTCGGGTCTCCCACACCACCTTCGCTGCACGCCGTTAATTCCGATTTTTCTGCTAGCTAGCGGCAATATTGCGCGGCGCCATGTTTTGTCCTGCAGTGCTCCGGCAATGGCCGTGGCATGCACAATTTGTTGCAAGAACGCAAAATTAAGCGTAAACGCAGCCACAGGTGTTGCTAACGGCCCGAGTGGTCAGTTAATTAATTCGAGCAATTACAACAACCCAATTACACAATTGAAGTTGGAACAAATTGAGCGGGTTAAAATGAACGCAAACATGTGTAAATTGGGAAGTTTCCGCTGCTTTAAAATAGCGCCACGGCGCCTTTGGGGCAACCAATCTTCCTGCTTCTGCATTTCTGTTGGTAATAGTGTTCTTATAAGGGCCACATATTTGCGGTTTTGGTGTGAAAATTTCAGGGTTTTATTCTCGCTTGATTTGGGTCGATTTAAGCAGGCGTCTACGGCTTTGCATACTAACATCTCGAAAGTTTGCATGTGTGTTGATTGTGAACTCGTAAGCACCTGCAAATTAGAGTGTAAACTGAGGTACGCCGTCCTACAAACATTTAGATAAGTACTCACACATATTTCGTTACGTAACTATTTGCAGAGCTTGCATTGCAAGAGAATCTCATAGAGTCTCACACACATATGCACGTTTCGAGGCATGCAACACCGGTGTAAACAAGTTTAATTTGCATAAGTAATGAAATGCAAATTTGCCTCAATGAGTTTTGGGTGTGAGCAGGAGTTCTGCAGTCTTGTCTGCAGACTGCAGCGCTGCTGAGTTTGAATTTCTCCTTTTCTTACAGAAATTGGAGTGTCAACTTACTTTTTAACTACAGTCTATTAATTAATGCAGAAAGGAATTCAAGTTAGAGGAAAAGAAATAGAGAAGTATAGAGAGAGGTAGAGATGTATTCTATATATGCGTAACTTAATAAGGATTGGGTGGTAGAAAAAAGTTTTGTACACGAGTATGGCAGTACGACACTTGTTAATCTAACTGCAATCTGAAATTTATGTGCGTAATAAAGCATACCTTCTTCTTCCCTAAAGACGTCTTTAAAATTTTTTTTTACTTTTTTGGAATAGTTTGTGTCAATTAAAGATCAAAAACAGCATATTCGGCATGTTTTCATATCTTACTCTTAAAAGGGTAAAAAGGCAGTTCAAGCTAGGCGAAAATTATGTGATGCGTACGGAGAAGATGGCAATGGCAAAAATAGTTTGCCGAATTTCGTTCCGGCAATTTCGATCTTGAGAATGTACCACGCGATGGAAGAACTTTCGAAACCCATGCGGATAAAATAAAGTCGTTGATCGATTCAAATTGTCGAATAATATGACGAGAAATTGCAAAAAGATTAAACTTGTCTAAGGCGGCCGTTCACATGAAACATCTACCATAGAAAAGAATTAATTTCAATTAGTAACCTATATGTCGGTTACTCATATTCTTACAGATCGAAATTTGCTTCCTAATTTCAAGGACTGTGAGTTGCTTAAAAAAGTAAACTTTAAAAAGTGATCCATTTTTTAAGCGCATTATCACTGGCAACAATAACTGGGTTGTTGACAATGTAAACTGCAAGAGATCATAGTATAAAAAAGGATGAAACAGCTCAAACCCTTCGAAGTCACCAAAAAAGGTTCCGTTTGGTGGGATTTGAAATTGTTTGTTTGAGCTTTTGCCGACAATAACACAATTAATTCTGAAGTGTATTGTGATCAGCTGGACAAATTGAGAGATTTTTCATTCTTTCCCGCAAAGATCAAAACTTTTATAGCAGGGAATCAATCTATTGCTTGCAAGATGGCAAACACTTTTGTATGAAAATGCAGAATATACAAACTCATAAAATAGTTTCCAGAATAAAAAGAAACGAAATCACTTAGTGAAGAACCCAATATTTCTCATAAAATTTTACATTTGTACAAAAACGTCAAAATGCTGCCACAACTCAGGCAGTGCTGTCAAGTGTGTGAGGAAGTTCGAAATATTATATGATTAATTAATTGAAAATGAAGGAAGTCAACATTACAAGCAATGCTGTGAAAGAGTTTGCCAATCAGGGCTTTGCTCAAGCTGCTGCTGCAGCGTTGGGGGTCACAAGGATGTCGAACTATAATCACAAATAGTATAATAGTAACTAACAACTAATACGCAAGTGTGTATAGTTGCATACATAATTACATGTATGCTCATGACGTGTTCGTATCTACAATACATATAATCGAAAGTGACAACTTCAAGTGAAAAGTGAAACCGACCTGCGACATTGAAATGCTGCCAAACCTGCTGCCGAGATTGTGAGTACGAATTTTGAAATGTTGCTGACTTAATACGACACTTTTCCATTAGCTCTAAACGCGTAAGGTGGCCAATGTGTGCACTCACGCCTGATGAAATGTGTGAGTGTGCGTAATTGAATTTGTGTTTGAAGCAAATTTTCCATTTTTAGGTGTGATCAAATGTATCAAATGTACCAGTATTTATTCGTTATATGCGTAATTTTATAAGCCAAACAATATTATAAAGCAGGCTTCTTAAAATGCAAATAATTCCAAAATTTATTGCTAGTAAATGCCGCATAAGTTAACATTAAAAAAGACGATTTTTGAAATAGCAAACAATGGACTAGCGGCTTAAGCTTTTGGCAATGACAATGACTTCTGATTACACGACAATTTTATGCTTGCGCTCGATAGCCCCTGGAGCCCCCGGGGCCCGTTGTCAATGTGAGACATTTGCGACATAACAATTGTCTGTTTTATTGCTGCCAAAGGCAAAATAATTGGCAGCGCAATTGCAGTTTTATTTGCGTTTTTTCAATGCATCCTTTTGTGGCACGCGTATGTTTGCTTATTCTGCATACATACATATGTACATACTTCTGTGCAGAGGCGGCTGCGTGTGCAGAATTTATTTTATTTATTGCTGTTGTTGTTCCCTTTTTATAATTTTTGTTGTTTTTGTTTACTCTGTTCGTTGATCCTTGTTGGCAACGTTCGTCGCAATGCTTGCCAATGTCATAACAATTTTTAATTGCTGGCATCTCTGGAAATTTGACTAACAGTTTTTGCACAAACGATTATTTCTACAATTTTTATGCCTTTTGTCGGACAAAACTGGATATAAATTATGACGACATTGAAAGGGAGGTGGGTGGAAAATCGTAAGTCTAAACTGAGTCTCGAGAGCAACAATATTGACCCAGAAATTAAAAAAAAAATTAAAAATTCACAAGTTTTAAATATTCGAAAATAGATTTATATAATGCCAATGGACATTAGAAACTAAAACTGAATATCAAGCATATTTAAATTAAAAGCCAATTAAAAATATGATAGTAATATTTCTAATGAAATCATAGATCGTTTATTGTAATACTATTTAGAGTACAAAACATAATATAAATTGAATATTAATATTCGAATCTTTACAGCTAAATCTATCTCACTATTCCTATTAAAGTAATTAAGGTAGAAAATTGTGTGGAAAATTTGCGATGCCAAAATATTTATGCCCTTCATGAACGAATAATTTTGAGACCCAAAATCGACTCTTATCTTAGAAAGAGAATGAAATAATCAAAAATAACTAAAATGAGACAGCTAAAAA